GGGGCTGAGTCCCCTTGGCTGGGTGAGAGCAAGTGAAAGGGGCTGAGTCCCCTTGGCTGGGTGAGAGGAAGTGAAAGGGGCTGAGTCCCCTTGGCTGGGTGAGAGGAAGTGAAAGGGGCTGAGTCCCCTTGGCTGGGTGAGAGCAAGTGAATGGGGCGAGTCCCCTTGGGTGGGTGAGAGCAAGTGAAAGGGGCTGAGTCCCCTTGGGTGGCACATACTGATGCCACCTGTTGCATGAGAGCTCGTGGTGGGAGTGTGAGTGGTGAAACTGGGTGTGCATTTGGATGGTGAGTGTGAGACAATGAGTGCGTGAGTGGTGGTGAGGCTGGTTATTGAGAGGGTAAGTGGTGAGAGTGAGCGTGAGTGCGTAGGTGGTGAGAGGGTGAGCGTGAGCGGTGACAGTAAGAGGTGGCAGTGGTGAGAGTGAATGAGTGGTGTCATGGAGCTGTGAGAGTGGGATGTGATAGAGATGCAAGCTTGGGATGTTCAGATCTTAGCGTTGTCTGCGCTGTGGCAGTGAGAGCAGAGAGGGTGGCGAGGGCGAGAGGTTAGTGTGGTGGGGTGGGTGAGACCGAGGCCGTGATTGTGGGTGATAGACACAGGTGATTGTCAGTGGTGATAGTGGGTGATAGGCACAGGTGAGTGTGAGTGGTGATAGTGGGTGATCATGATGCTGGTGGTTGGTTGGTGGCACATGATGAGCCGTATGGCACTGATGCCACGTGTTGCATGAGAGCATGATTGGTGGCACATGACGGAATGAGCAAGTTAGAGAAAAAGCCAACGAGATTGCATACAAACCGAAGGGGTGGAGAAGGTTGGGATAGAAAATGTGGGAGCTTTGTGGAGAGGCAGCTTTGTGGACGGGTCACGTGTGAGAGTGTAGGTGGGATGGTACCTACCACCCACCTAGCTGTCGTGGTGGTGAAGGAAGTGGATGGTGCGAGTGCAGAGGTTGAGCGAGCGTGCGTGTGTGAGTGGTCAGAGTGCAGTGAGAATGGGTGTGCATGCATATTTGCACCTGTGCATACAGGTTTGTGTGCCGTGATCATTCATCTGTGAACGTGTGTGTGTGCATGCTCACTTTGTTTGTACCTGTATTGTTCATACCCTCACCAGCAGATTTTACCTTCACCTGAGGGAGTAGTGGGCTGATCATCGGTGAAAGGTGTTGAGTCCCCGTGGGTGGGTGAGAGTAAGTGAATGCTGCTGAGTTCCCTTGGGTGGGTGATCATGTTGGTTAGTGGCACGTAATGAGCCTCCTGTTGCATGAGAGTATGATTGGTGGCACATGACGGAATGAGCAAGTTTGAGAAAAAGCCATTGATATTGCGTACACACCAAAGGGGTGGAGAAGGGTGGAATAGAAAATGTGGGAGCTTTGTGGAGAGGCAGCTTGGTGGACGGGTCACATGTGACAGTGTAGGTGGGATAGTACCTACCACCCACTTAGCTGTCTTACAGGTGCTGCTTTCAGCAAGGTGACTTGCATTGCTGCCTGTTGTGGTGCTGGTGGTGCTGCTGGTGGTGCTGCTGTGAAGCTTCTGTGGCTGGACAGGGATTGACTGGGAGGGTTGAAAAGAAACAGCACCGTGAGAAGCAATCGATTTTGTACAAGCCACAATCTGTTGTACAGGGATAAGAATGGCCTTTAGCTCTGTTTTCACATTTTTTCAAGCAATCACGAAGAGGACTGGGGTGCATAGAGCGTTTTCCTTACAGTTCCAAAAGTATTGCTGTTTTATGACAACGTTCTTACAATGTGTGAACTCTGATACTTTGGTGACGAATTATTTGCTGAATAAAATCTCTCATATTTGTTGTATCAGTTCAGCCTGTAATAAGCGCATGGTCATATTATACGCACTAGGGTCCCTGAACTCCACAATACTATCCATACCATCACATGCGTGTCTGTCAGAGACATGTGGCTGTTTCCCGCGCGAACACTTTGAACTGCGCGAGTTCCGCGCTGCGGATGTTTCGTGACTTTGTTTCGCGGCCACCACCAACGCAGAGAAAGGTGTGGTCCTCAAACCTCCGTGAACCTCCCTTCACCACTCTGGATCACTCTGGAAGAACTGCATTACAGCAATGCGTAGGGATTCTCCTGATTTCCTTTTTCGAGATTCCCTGAACACCATTCCTCACCGCAACTTCCTCAGACTCCAAGGCGTTAGCTCATTAGGTTGCCTGGAGTCCATGGCTGTCTCCTGAAGTTCCATCCTTACCAACCAATAAGTAGGCCTTAAGCTTAGTCGCTGTTTAATTCTTAGTTAATTGTGCTCCTAACCATATCTGGCGGACCTCTGTTCGAGTTTCACGGTGAAAACCCGGCATTCCTCTACCTCTCTAACAGCAACGCTTAGAGGTTCTCCTGGTTTCCGTTTTCAAGCTTTCCTGAACGCCTTTCTTCACCGCAACTCCCTCAGACCCCAAGGCGTAGCTGGTTAGGTTGCCTAGAGTCCATGGCTGTCGCCTGAAGTTCCATGCTTACCAACCAATAACTAGGCCTTAAGCTTAGTCGCTGTTTAATTTTTAGTTGATTGTGCTCCTAACCATATTTGGCGCATGTCTGTTCGAGTTTCATGGTATCCGATGCGGGATTCTTCAAGGCTCGGCTCGTTTCGTCAGCAATCCATGGCTGTCGTTTTCCCCTAGTATCACAGACCGATAGCTGTCTCGCAAGCGCAATCATAATCTGTATACTATCTTTGCCAACGCTACTAGACATAAAGAACCGCTCGATTATAGCACTAGCAAACTGTCCTCATTCGATCCTGATGATCAGGCCGTTTTCGAAGCTCCATGCTGATCGCTGACCGTCGCAGAGATTCAGCCTCTTTGTCACCGCTGATGGTAGTCGGAGATGGTTCGTAGGGCTTAGCGATATTCGTATCGCCGTTCAGAGTTCGTGCACGTCCTGTTTCAGACTGAGACGATAACGTCGTTTAGATTACACGGAGACAGCGATAACGGTTTCTGCGTTAAGGAGTAGAATTCATGTTTTTTGAGGATGACGATCGGGAGAGTGGAAGGGGGAGATCATTGGAGGGGGTGACGAGCTCAGTGGAGGGGGAGATCGAGACGGCGATTCCTGATTATGGTTATATAGACGAGGAGTGTTGGCGATGACAATCGGCGATCTTGACGGTGAAAATATATACTGAGCAGTACTGACGGAACGAGACGGCAATTTTTGACGGTGGAGATCGAACGAGGAGTGCTGACGATAACATCTGAGACGGCAATTTTTTACGGTGAAGATTGTGATGACGAGCTCTTACGTCGACGAGACGTCTGCTAGAGTGGTGACGATGACGATCGCGAAGATGTGTTCGTACGGCGACGAGGTGTTCGTACGGCGATGAGGTGTTCGTACGGCGACGAGGTGTTCGTACGGCGACGAGATGTTCGTACGGCGACGAGGTGTTCGTAAGGCGACGAGGTGTTCGTACGGCGACGAGATGTTCGTACGGCGACGAGATGTTCGTACGGCGACGAGGAGTTCGTACGGCGACGAGGTGTTCGTACGGCGACGAGGAGTTCGTACGGCGACGAGGTGTTCACACGGCGACGATTTCGATTACGAAAATTTCGAATACGAGGTGTTCTATCGAAATAGCAATCTCTGCTTTGGAAAATTCCGAAGGATCCGGAAGCACGTCGGAACGCGGAGGGGAGCAGCAAGGAATGTACGTAGCTGGACGGAGAACAGAGGGCGAACGATGGACCTGCGAGCAGCATCGTGTGAAATAGCGCTGACGCGGACTCACCCTCTCCAGCAGTGTGTGAGCAGTGTGTGCCAGCAGCAGCTGATATCACGCGCGGATTGCGCGGACGAACGCGGACTGCGGGGAAAAGCTGGGATTAGGGGGAGAAACGCGGATTGCGACGTGTGCAGCAGTAGCGACGTGTGCAGCAGCAGCTGCAGCGATTAGTTGAACCCGGAGCACGGGCAGCAGCCTTTTGAGTCAAAAGGGCATCAGCAGGATGTTGCGTGAGGCGAAGGCGCAGCAGCAACGGAGAAACTGGAGCAATGAGCGTGAGAGGCATCAACGCAGTGGTGGTCACGATGGGAGCAACGACCGAGCAGCCACGCGTGACGCCTCAGTAAAAGCGTGGCGCAGGAGCGGCAGAGTGGCGATCCGATCATGGTACGTGCCAGGGGATGCTCGCAGGGGGGGAGTGTAGTGAGTCCTAGAGCGTCGCCGCGCAGAGGCAAGAGTCGTGCCCTTGTCCATTCCTGCACCATTCTCTTGATGCTATGTCTAACCCTCGCTTGTTGCATTGTTTCTGCGTGGCTGCCTCTCTCCCCATGCGTGTGTGTGCCTCACGGCCTGCGAGACGAGCTGGAGTGGCAGCGAGTGGACGGGGAATGGGCGGGGCTGCCGTGGCTGGCTCGCACGAGAGACGACCCGAGCAGCGCGCGTGAAGTGAAGACGTGGCGCAGGAGCGGCACAGCGGCGGACGGAGCAAGGTACGGGCCAGGGGGTGCTTGCTGGGGGGCAGTCTAGTAAGTCCTAGAGCGTCGCCGCGCAGAGGCAAGAGTCGCATCTCTTGCCCTTGCCTCCACCGCTCGCATCTTGCTGTTTCTAACCCTCACGTTGTTTCTGTGTGGCTGTGCGGCTGTGTCTCTCCCCGTGCGTGTGTGTGCCTCACGGCCTGCGAGACGGACGGGAATGGCAGCGAGTGGGCGGGGAAGAGGCGGGCTGCCGTGGCTGGCGCGCAGAGAGACGACCTTCGTAGCGAGGACAAGTGAAAGCGTGGTGCAGAGCGGCCAACGGAACATGGTACGTGTTCAGGGGATGCTTGCAGGGGGGACGTGTAGTGAGTCGCCGCGCAGAGGCAAAAGTCGTGTGTCTTGCCCTTCTCCCGCCGCTCGCCTCCTTTCGTGCTGCTTCTAACCCTTCCTTTTGCTCCGCTTCTGTGTGCGTGTTTTCTCTCCCCATGCTTGTGTGTGCCTCACGGCGTGCGAGACGGAGTGGGCGCGCAATGGCATGGAGTGGGCGCGCAATGGCATGGAGTGGGCGCGCAATGGCATGGAGTGGGCGCGCAATGGCATGGAGTGGGCGCGCAATGGCATGGAATGGGCGCGCAATGGCATGGAGTGGGCGCGCAATGGCATGGAGTGGGCGCGCAATGGCATGGAGTGGGCGCGCAATGGCATGGAGTGGGCGCGCAATGGCATGGAGTGGGCGCGCAATGGCATGGAGTGGGCGCGCAATGGCATGGAGTGGGCGCGCAATGACGCTATGGCCGTTGCTGGCGCGCACGAGAGACAGCAAGGAGCAGCACACCTGAAGTGAAGGCGTGGCGCAGGAGTGGGAGAGTGGCGGACGGAGTGTGGTACGTGCACGGAGGGGTGCTTGCAGGGGGGCCGTGAAGTAAGTCGTAGGGTGTAGCCGCGCAGAGGCAAGAGTCGTGTCTGTTGCTTGCAGGTCCACCACTCGCCTTCTGCTGCTTCTAACCCTCCTTTATTGCGCTGCTTCTGTGTGTGTGTCTCTCCCCCCATGCGTGGTGTCTCCTGGCCTGCAAGACGGAGAGCAATGGGTAGAGGAAGGCAGTCGCAGGAGTGGGCGAGCGGCAGACGTTTCTTTGGAGATCGCAGGCGTTCGTTTGGAGATCGCAGGAGTTCGTTTGGAGATCGCAGACGATTAACGGTACATAAGAGTGTAGTCTGTGGGGAAGAATTCCTGTAAGCGTCTAGAATAAGAACGCCTATTGAGTCTCGTCGCTTTCCCCGTTTGCGTCATGCTTGGGAATTACCCTTCCACTAACGCGTGTACCGTCCCTCTCCCCTGTCCTCCGCGTCCTCCCCTCAGCATGTGTGCAATTGACTCGGACATTCATCTCGGACGTACGGGATTTGGACGGTCGGACCAGGCCTGCGTCGTTGGAAGCGTTCGCTCGGCAATCGCAGGCGATTGGAGGTCGCATCAGTGAAGAATGGAAGGTGTGGAGTGACGGCCTCAAGTGAAGGCGTGGCAAAGCAGCCGCGCAGCAACGCAAGGAGCATGCGTGGTACGCGCCACGGGGTGCTTGCAGGGGGGGAGTGTAGTGAGTCGTAGAGCGTCGCCGCGCAGAGGCAAGAGTCGTGTCTCTCGCTTTTGCCTCCGCTACTCGCCTACTGCTGTTTATAACTCTCCCGTGTTGCTCCGCTTCTGTGTGCGTGTCCCTCTCTCCGTGCGTGTGCGTGCCTCACGGCCTGCGAGGTGGACGCGGAATGGCAGCGGACGGGGAGCGGACGGACGGGGAATTGACGCGGCGGCCGTTGCTGGCTCGCACGAGAGACAACCTGAAGCAGCACGCGTGAAGTGGAGGCGTGGCACAGCAGCGGCAGAGTCGTAGGCGTCGCCGCGCTTGCTGCTTGCTGCTCCACCACAGGCTTCCTGCTGCTTCTAACCCTCCCTTGTTTCGCTGCTTCTATTTGGCTGTCTCTCACTCCCCATGAGTGTGTGTACCTGACGGCTTCCGAGGTGGAGGGGAATGGTACAGCGTGGACGAGGGATGGGCGCGGATTGGGTGCGGAACGACATGGAGTGGGCGCGGAATGGCATGGAGTGGGCGCGGAACGGACAGGACTTGCGTTGCTGCCTGGCTCGAGAGTGAAGTCATCCCGAATCAGCACGGCTGAAGTGAAGGCGTGGCGCAGGAGTGGGACAGCAGCGGACATAGCATGGTACGTGCCAGGGGGTGCTGGTAGGGGGGCCGTGAAGTGAGTCGTAGGGCGTCGCCGCGCAGAGGCAAGAGTCCTTTCCCTTGCCTCCACCACTCGCCTCCTTTCCTACTGCTTCTAACCCTCCCTTATTGCGCTGCTCTGTCTGCGTGCCTCTCTCCCCTCGCGTATGTGTGCTTCATGGCCTGTGAGGCGGAGGGGAATGGCGGGGAGTGGAGCGGGGGTGACAAGCTTGGGGGCTTTGTTCCGGCCCGACACACAGCAGCAGCGCTGGTGAGTGCAGCAGCGCTGGTGAGTGCAGCAGCGCTGGTGAGTGCAGCAGCGCTGGTGAGTGCAGTGGCGCTGGAGACTTGAAGCAGCAGTAGTAACAGCGCCTTGACTTTTCAGCCAAGTGTGTTCTCCTCTGAACGCTTTTGCCTTTTGTGATGCCAAGCGCTCATCCCTTGTCGTGCATGTGCTTCGCTGCTTTCTCCTCTGAAATCTCGCTGCTGGTTGGTTTTGGCCTGACTCACAAGCCACCGTCCCTTGTTACTGCAGGTATCAGCAGCAGACAACACGCAAGCTGGAGCAGCACGCCTGACAGGAGTGGGAGCACGCCTGACAGCTGGAGCACGGGCCACAGCAGGTGCTGCTTGGGGCGAATGTGTGGCGCAGGAGCGGCAGCTTCTGCTGAGGAGGAGAAGTGGTACGTGCCCGGCTGTGCTTGCAGGGGGGCCGTGAAGTGAGTCGTAGGGTGTCGCCACGCAGAAAGTGTCGTGTCTGTCGCCCTTGCCTCCACCACTCGCCTCCTCTCCTGCTGCTCCGAACCCTCCATTGTTGCGCGGCTTCTGTGTGCGTGTTTTCTCTCCCCATGATCGTGTGTGCCTCATGTCCTGCGAGACGGACGGGAATGGAAGCGAGGGACAGTGCATGAGCATCTGGGGGAAAGGGGGAAAAGAGGGTGGGGTGTGCATGCGTGCGTGTGCGTGTGTGCACGCCTGTGAGTGTTCCTCTCAGCCTTCAAGCTCTGGACTGTGGCGGACTACTCTTCTTTGTGAACCTGCCTGCCCTTCGGTGGAGACAGCAAGATTTTGTCTCTTCCAAGATAAGAGGTAACTTGGAGTGAAGATGCAGCAGCAGGGCGAATGTATCGTGCGTTGCTATTTGTCTTGGTCCCTTTCCAAGATAGTCCCTTTCCAAGCTAGTCCCTTTCCAAGCTATTCCCTTTCCTCCAAGCTAGCATCTGCTCTTTCGCATCCTCATGCCTCTCTTCTCCTTCCTTGCCATCCCCTCTCCCTCACCTCCAGCACTCACGGAAGGCAATGGTTGCAGCAACCACAGCATGATGGAAAGCAAGCACACAAGGACTCGTGAGTCAAGCACACCAGCTCAAGCAGTTTACTACTCCTATATTCACCGTCTTTCTGCTTTCTGTGTTCCCTTCCGTCTTGTCTTCTATTTTCCCACGGTTCCCAGAGTCTTTGCTGCTGTGCTGCCATGTTTCCATGCCACTCGCTCAGCTCCCAAGCCTCTCCTTTCCTGTCCTCTGCTCTTCTCTGCGTGAACGCGGCGAGAGCAGCAGCAGCAGCAGCAGCAGCACGGGCAGCAGCTTGGGGCGAAGGCTTGGCGCAGGAGCAACGGAGCAACACGGAGAAACGTGGAGCAGCACGGAGCACACAGGCGTGGTCCACGAGGCAGAGCGGCCGAGTGGCAAAGCGGCAGACGGAGGAGCGTGGTACGTGCCAGGGGATGCTTGCAGGGGGGCCGTGAACTGTCATAGGGTGTCGCCGCGCAGAGGCAAGAGTCGTGTCTGTTGCTTGCGGGTCCACCATTCGCCACCTGCTGCTTCTAACCCTTTTCTATGTGTGTGTGTCTCTCTCCCCATGTGTGTGTGTGTGTCTCTCTCTCCCCATGTCTGTGTGTCTCTGTCTCCCAATGTGTGTGTGTGTCTCTCTCTCCCCCCGCGTGTGTGTGCCTCGTGGCCTGCGAGACGGAGAGCAATGGAAGCACGTGGACGCCTCAAGTGAAGGCGTGGCGCAAAACTGGGAGAGCAGCGCACGGAGTGTGGTACGTGCCAGGGGGTGCTTTCAGGGTGCCCGTGAATTGAGTCGTAGGGTGTCGCACCGCAGAGGCAAGTGTCGTGTCTGTTGCCTTTGCTTCCGCCACTCGCCTTTAGCTGCTTCTGACCCTCCCTTGTTGTGGTGTGCATGTGTGCGTGTGCATGCCTCTGAATGTGCCTCTCAGCCTTCGAGCTCGTGGCAGATTGTTTGTGGTGCACGAGTGGGAGAGCAAAGGACGGAGCATGGTACGTGCCAGGGGGTGGGGTGCTTGCAGGGGGGCCGTGAAGTGAGTCGCCGCGCAGAGGCAAGAGTCGAGTCCCTTGGTTCTTGTTTCTGCCACTCGCCTCCTCTCCTGTTGCTCCTAACCTCTCTTCTTGCGCCGCTTCTGTGTGTGTGTTTGTCTCCTCGTGCCATTGCGTCTTGTCTCGGTCCCTTCTCCAGCTGTCACTGCACCGTTATTTTTTCCTTTTAATCAGCTTCACTCCTTTCCTTTTGTGCGCTGTTGCAGCTTGTACTGAGTGTCCAACTGCGCTCTCTTTCCTCCCCGTTTCTTGTCCAATCGGTGTCCCGTGGGTTGGCTCTTCTGCATTGATGTGCAGGGCAGGGCGAGGTAGAGGACTTGTGGGCTGCCATTGTCGCATGGCAGTGAACCACCAAGAGCTCAAGATGTGTCGCCTCTCTCCTTGCCCGTGCATACCAGTCCTTAGCTGTGCTTAGGTGTGGTTAGGTGTGTTTATCTTATCTTGGGTGTGCTGTGTTGCGCTTCGCTGGGAGGGGCGGGTCTGCATGTTGTGGAATAGGTGGGCAGGGGTGGGCAACCTGGAAGGCGCCGGGGCACAAACACCCAAGCAGGGCAGAGTCCTCCTCCTGCAGAAAGCTGTGCTGCGAGCGACATGATGAGGAGGACATTGCTGTTACTCGCCACGCCAAGCCGTCATTCATGGCACTGAGTGAGAGTGAGGTGGAGCGAGCATGAGATGCGAGGCACACCCTGGGTAATGATTGAGAGAAAGTGGACGTGTAGGGCATCCACCCAGCCAATCACTGCATGCAGCAGGCATGATCTTACCGACAGAGCCAGCCACTAGAAACAGGAGGTAGGATTAGGGTGACTAGAAACCGTGATTGCGTACATCATCTGCAGTACAGGAATGGTCAGGGTCTGGGCCCAGGGGGTACCGTTTATTAAAACTACCCCAAGTCACAATTCGGCAGCTGTGGAAAGGGCAGAGATCCCACGCAGCCATGCTACCCGGTACAGCAAGGGCATGGAAGCCACCAAGTCTGACTGTTGCAGCATTGTTTGTTCCATTCTCATCGTTGACGTGACTGAACAACCCTCGCCAGCAAGACAAGATGCCACGGTTACCAGCCAACCAGACATGCAGCCAATCCTGGATCCTTGCTTCCTATCCACAAAGCTGTCCTGAGACAGAGTCCCAGAATCGTTGTACCCACTTCACTGGCCCATATGCTATCTTGTGGTGTCAGGACAGGCAGGGCACCGTGCCAGCCACAACAGGCACGGCCTACCTGTACCAAATTTGCCACCACTGGTAGACGTAAGTTCTGAGAACCTCCTACTGTATTA